TGTTAACCTTTTTTTCCTTCCCTTCATCAGTAACAATAGTACCACAATAAACGACAAGTCCATTAGGTGGAACTAATGTATGAGAATTAAAAATGTTACGAAATATTATGATTAATAATTAATATAGGGAAACTAAATCATACTATGTATTTACATACCTTTAGTGTATAATTTCAATCTTTGCTGCGTTGATGTGATAGCAGCCAACACAGATAAACGATTTACTCGAGATTTAATGTTAGAGGCAGTTCCGTATTCATCTGCCAACATTTTTGCCACACGAGAAATTTGATCCTTGGGGGCTATGGAATGTTAAATAAGATAAGTATTTGGAAATTGAAATCATGTCTTATCGTCCTTGATTTCGATAACCTACGAATGATGAGAGAGATCATAGAAGTTCCATTCCTATCGCATGATAAACATAAAGTCAGAACTTTCCCACACTCAAACGTTTAAAAAAAAAAAATAAATAAATAAAATAGAACAAGAATAAAGTAAATAAAATTTTCGAGTTTACTAACCCTCTAGCGGCTTCCAAACTCTTAATTAGCTTCTTTACCTTCCAGATTTCCACATTTCTATCAGTTGCGTCTGCTGCTGTCGCAGTTTGACTCATTTTTATTTATTATTATTATTTTAATATTCGATAGAAAAAAAAAAAGAACTCAACGGAAGAGGTGGGGAATGATCAGTTTTTTTTATATATATATATATACTCAAAAAAAAACTGCGTCTAACTTAATCGTGTAACGATAATTCAGTATATCCAGATATATAGACGAAGATCGAATGTGCAGACGTACGTAGTAGTTGCGTCAAATACATACTTTTAAAGCAATAATCAATAATTCGAAAAAGATTTTATTTACTAATTTTGAAGCAGGAGTCAAATTATGGAGATAACTTGGATAATCACTTTTATATTCGTTTTATAATTAAATAAATTTCATTGAGAACTTTAAAGAGCATCTACAATTCCACTATTGGCGTTTCTAATAAAGCAATCAAGAAAACATTTGATCTCTAACACTATTGTAACTGTAAAAACGTAAAATAACGAGCATGGTCGTTATTTAAATAAATCGGATCATCTAAAAATATCATATAGTACTTTATAATGCCGTATCTCGAAATAACGCGCGCCCTATGTATAGTAAGAAACAGACTCATAAAATTGACCTTATATCTCGAAATAACACACACGATCATACTAGAATTAAAACACGGGTATGCGGTTTTAATGGCAACTCAAAGACATAACCAAAAGGTGATGCAATTAAGGAATTTAATGTCAATAAAATTTGGATTGAAAATTTAAATCATGTCTATGTTATAATCTTGCAAACTTAAAGACCTTACCAAAATATCATTAGCTTTTAGTTTATCGAAAAGAATTTCGTTTGTATTCGAATATCTCACTACTTTCAAATCAATGCTCTGACAGAGGGATTGACGTACTTAATCCCTTGCCTTCGATAACAACCGCTCGATAACAACCGCAGAGGTATGGTAGTAATCCCCAATATCACAAGTTTTTTATGTCGAGTGTATTTATCTACGAGGTATAGCAAAATAGATACGACGTACGAAGTTGTGTTTTATGAGAAAGTATAATCTTGATTGTACGTACTATTATAGTGCACCAAGATTTTTCAACCGGGTCTGGATTCATACCTTACCAATAAAAGCAATTTTGACCAATCGAATTTCAGGACCAGGATCGGAATAGAAGTCACATTACCCTAGTTCTAGTCATGTCCCAAATTAGGGGGACGTCTAAGGCTGGGGTGTTTCATGCAAGTCTAATTACAAACAT